CTCCATCAGTACTGGAAAGTCCACTTCTATGACATCACCTTCTGCCACTAACCTTGGCCTACATAGGGCAACCATCCACTGAGCTTCTAAAAAATGCCAGTCATCCTCTTGTAAGTATAGTCCTTGCCACTTTAGGGAAGGACTGTCTAGGGGAGGTCAGATCTTGGGTTACTCATTCTTACAAATCAATCCTAGCAGTCTCACCTCCCTGGGACTTTTACTCCATTCTATACTACAGAAATCGTCACATGCAACTTCAAGAAACCATCCCAGTACATGGTACCTCATATGCTGGACAGAGCACTGAATCCTAAGGTATAGGTGAATGTACAAAATTTTCCCATGGCCCAGCAACTTCCAAATAAACTCCCATGTGTGGTTTTTCCCTAGTCTCTCTGATACACATTTGTTGGGATCTATAATTCCTTTGTTGTGTGACTTATTTCCTCCCAGGGCAAAGACTGTTTCCTTGTCAAGGTTGAGATCTGAATCTACTTGTTGGCCTGGAGGCAAAGAGATGTGGTGGAGGTCAAGTCTTGAGAATGAATGTTATCTTGCAAGTTATCAATGTCAAGTGAGGACACTGAATGGTTTTTAGGCAAGGGGAAGCTAATCTCCTTCAGCCAAATGGGAAGGGTTGCTAATGCCAGCAAGAAAGACTTGAAAAAGTGTAGCTGTTCAAAGTCCCCTAATTCAGGTAAACAATTCCATTTCCAAATCCCATTCTGACCTACTTTCACAACTGTCTTAGCACAAGTCCTCTTGAAATGATTCTGAGAAGATTAAAGTTGTGGCACCAGGACAGGAACAGGTCTGGAGACACAAGAGTGAGTTTTTAAAAGTAGGGATGGACACTTCCTTGAACCAGCCCTCACTGCTCTGTTAGAACCCTTGTAGATGCCCAGATCTGGGAGTTTTCCTGAACCAGCCTTGATTAATATATCTCTCAACTCTCAGCAGAGAAACTTCCTTATACAGCAGATTGTGGTTAACACAGAGAACCTCACCTTACCAATGTGCAGAGAATAAGAGGCTGCAGACTGCTTATCACTGAATAGGACACCTATATCAAACTTCTGTCTCCCAAGGCTCAGGGATCATTGCAGAAAGATTATAAGAGCCAGAGTGATGGATGGCCACAGGAAAACAGAGTTTTCCAGTTACTTTCATGAACTCACAGAAATGGTGACAGGATGCACAAGTCCTACTTAAATTCAAGCCAGACGTAATCCCAGGGTAAACATGGGGAAGTGTGTAACAAACCCCAACCCTACCTGGTGGCTAGAAGAGGAAGATTCCATCTCATTTAAGGATGGAGACTTTTGATAGGTTAACCAGGCTTCGGTGAATGAACCCATACCAGAGGGCATTTAGGGACACAAACCTGATTACATATATATATATATATATATATATAGTACATATATCTAAATGTATATATATATGTATATGAAATTTGGGAGTAAGAGGATGCAGATACAGGAGGGGATCCAAATACAATCCATATATCTATTGTAGGAAATCCAAAAATATTCAATAAAAAAGGAAAAAAGTTTAAACGCAGGAATAAAACATAAAATTTTAAAAGTAGGGATGGACAAGATATGACACAATGCCACACAATGTATTACAGCATTGACTATTACTTCCTGAGGAGATGGAGATGCAGGAGGTCACTAGTGTGCATGCGTGAGGATATGCCCACGCTGCACACCGGACTTCTCCAGGGAAGTTGCCAGAAGACATACTATGTAGTAATTCCTAACAAGAGGAAAATTAAGCTCTCATTAGTCCATTGGTCACTTCAAAGAATTCCCCGAATGCTCTGTCATTGATCTACACTGCCAGCATTCCCTGAACTTCTGAGTTGCACCATTTGGACTCCTAGAATCCACTGAAAAAGTCAAATCCCACAGTCAAACCTGTCCTTAAATGCCCTCTGGTGTGGTTCCATCCACTGGATCCTGGTCAACCTGTCCAACAGCACACTCTTAAAGAAAACTGACTCCCTCTCCCAGCAGCCACTGATGCTAATCGTTTCCCCAATTTCATGCTGGGATTCTGCCTGGCTTGAGCTTGTATCTTGTGCATACTGTCATCGTTGCTGTGACTTTTTTCATATTATTTTTATTTTTGTGTATGAGTTACTGCCTTTATGTGTGTAAGTACACCCATGTCATGCAATGCCCATGGAGGTCAGAAGAGGGCATTGGATTTCCTGGAACTGGACTTATGGGTTGTTAGCCACCATGTGGGTACTAGGAATTGAACCTGCATCCTCTGTTGCTCTTAACCCCTGAGCCAACTTTCCAACCCCCTGCTGTGATTTTCTTAATCCTCAAATTATTCCGATTTGAGTGTGCAGCTCCTTGCTAGGGTGCTATTTCACATTAGAAGGGAGACTTTGGCATGCTCCATACCACTAGACCCCTAGAAATTCCACCAGGGTAGAAGGCGCCTGAATTTCTGTCAGATTTATTTCTTACCCTCTAGCACAAAAATCTTACCAACATAGCTGGAGTACTTGCTAATTCCTGTTCACCAGATTCATTCGGCTTAATATCATCATTGTCATGAACTGCTGTGATGTCTTGCAGATGAGAAAGTCAATCCTCAAGTATGGCTGACTGCATCATGACACAGGGCTGGAGAAGTGATATTCCCAAGGTTACGAATCAATGTCCATTGCTGGCCTTGCCACCTTCAAGGGAACTGCCTCCGGGGGTTCTAGCAGGTGTGGAGGGACTGCATTTGCTGCCTACCAGGTATCAGATGAGACAATGTACTTGAGCAATGAAACCACATCTAGCAATGGCAGCTGCAATTGGCGTCACCACCTAAGTTTGTGACTAATATTCTCCAAGATCTGCTTTCTGCACGGACCACATAGGAGTGTTGGGGATGTGGTGGAATGCCCAGCCCTGAATCCTTCAAGCCCTACCTGGTGGCATTAATCTGCAGTTCCTCAAAATGTGGTGTTGCTTTTGATTCACTTTTTCCCTGAACAGGAATATACCGCCCCAGGATGTATAGTCACAGCAATGATGACAGTATGCACAAGCCTGAGTTGCAGCAACCCCACATTCTCTTTGAAGGTGCTGGGGACGGATCACCCCATGCCTGTCTCCAAACTCCTGGAAGCTTGCTCTGACCACCTTTGCCATACTTTAGCTTATGAAAAAAATTCCAGTCTTTGCACAATATTCTTTCTCAGTGTGTACCTCTTGTGTCCAAATTTTCCAGATTTTCTGACAAGTGACTTGTAATGGTTAATCATCAATGTGATTGGACTGAAAACCATCTGAATTTCTAAAGCACACTTATGGAAGTCTCTGGATCAGTCCCTTGATGGTTTCATCCCGACAGCATTATTGAAAGATGGTTGAAAAGTAGGTGGGGTCTATCATGTATCCTTTGGGGCTATGTCTTGCCTCCACCCCTTCCTGTATTTGTTTCTCTGCTTCTTGGCCATCATGATATGAACCCCTCTACTCTGCCATGATGGACTAACACCTATGAAGCCATAAGCCACAATAAATCTTTCCTCCTGTATGTCAGGTACTGTCACAGCAATGAGAAAGCTAACAAACACACAAGCCACTCAGGGCTCTTCTACTCCAGTATAACTTAATTTAATCAATTTCATTTGCAATGACTATTTCTAAGATCACATTGAGTTACAAGGATTAGATATTTTCTGTGTTCTTCCACCTTGCTACATTCACCACTCCAACCCAATCCCTGGTCATCTTACATGGATATTCTTCCTTGTAATTGCAGCCCCTCCCCAAGCCCGTCAAACCTTTTAATGCAGTGTCCATATCACAGCTCCGGTTGAATGTGGCAGTCTTCCTAGTAGAGACAGTTCTACTTGGCTTTTCCTACCCTAGCAGCCTTCATTCCACAAGCCAGGGAACCTATGTAGGGATTCCTCCAGTTTCTCAATATGTCCAATCATGAATTATAGACCTGAGGGTATTACAGGGTACATTCACAAACTCACTGAGGTGATTGTCAGCTAAAAAATTTTATTGGTTACCTAACTCTCACAAGCCCTACTCTGACAGGTGCTCCACAGTGATATTTCAGACATTCCTATAGGTTCAGAAATCATGTGCAAAAAGCCTTTGAGCATCTGGTAGTTTCTTTCCTCAATGACGCTTACCATAGTAAACAGCATGCATTACTTGGGAAAAGACTAGGAGAAAGTTAAATAGTATTAAGTTTTAGCAGGATAAACAGATCGCTGTGGTTCGGATATGCAGTGTGTCCTCAAAGGCCTCATGTGTTGAAGGCTTTGTGCCCAATCCAGCAGTGTTTAGAAGTGGTTCCTATTTGCCCAGTACCCCGTGGTACCTCCTGGAACTGGGTCATTACAGGTCTAGATGCAAAGCAGAGTGGCAGGAACAGGTTCTGCAAAGAGTTAACAGTGCCTTGCAGGGAACATCTCTGAAGAGACTGTTCACATACAGGCCCTTCAGGCAAGGCAGGGTCAACCTTCTCAGAGGTGGGGCTGTTTCTCCTGGCAAGACAGCAGAACTTGGGTTCAGTTTCCCTGGCTTCTACTTAGAACTGCATCCTTCCCCAATCAGTGCTCTCCCTTAAACTTACATAAAAAGTAATCTTTGATAGATTCAAAGACTTGAAGATTAACTCTTTAAAAAAGATCCCATACTACTCCTAAATTACTTTTTTAAAACATCTGCCACACAGCTGGTACTTGATGTGTGATAAAAAGACAACACACAAGTCACAGTGGAGCTGCCATGGCAAAGGGAGAGACTAAAAATGTCTCTCTAGTCCCAGCTCCAGCCCAACCTGTAAGAAAACTCATGTTTTTCTGCCAGTCTCCGTCTCTGTTTTCTTGTGAAGCCGGCAGCAATGGAGCCGAGATCAGTGACATGACCACCACAGGGAATGTGCATCTACAGAAGCAGCCCCTGCAGGAGTCCCATTCCTCCCAGCAAAGGGAAAAGGCCTACTGTGCTGAGGACAAAGAATGAGAATACTACCTTTTACTTTAATTTATTGTCATATTAATTTAAGACTGGAACAGACTATTAAACAAGATTTAACAAGATTTAAGATTCCACAGAGAACTGCATGCTTTTGCTATTGAAAGTCTTTTGAAGCATTTGAATTTTGCCACTTGGGAAGTGGAAAAATACAGATTTCAACCGTTTCTGCCAGCGTACAATCATTCACAGCAACCTTATTTTCTTATTTTCTACCAAGAAAAGGTAGTACTCACTCACCAAATGCCACTACCACAGAAAGAGTCAAAGTTCTGGAGTCCAAAAGTGGATAGAAACTGCGAATCAGTATTAATTAGTAGTCCAAAACTTGGTTTAAATGTTTGAAGAACTGCAAACACCACATATTTTAATACCAAATAAAGTATTACTGTTTATGAAGTAATGACCCATCAACTAAAACCAGCTCAGGGCATAATAAACCTCTCCAGGGTATAATGCCTTCATTCTAAATGCTTCCTCTGGCATTACAGGTTATATAAATAAACAAGGCAGTTTCAGCATTCCATAGTAACCACCAGCTTCAAAAATAGCAATGCACATACACCTGCATGTTAAAGTAACATACAATACATAAGCACAATGTCACATATCAACTCCTAGCCACAAACAATAGGATACAAGAAGCTATACAAGAACAAAACACCACAGAATCTGGATATTCCCATTCTCCAGCTGTTAGCAGGTAGCACTTTAAAGAGAAAGTGATGAAAAATCAGAAACTTTGCACCCAGTGTTAGCCTTCAGCTTTCAACCTTATCGCCTTCTAGTGCCACCATATCCTAGAATGGAAAGAATAAAATCTGTATTAGCTTTTCAAAATACATTAAAACTGCTTATAAAATTACAAAAGGTAGTGCATGTTTATTATTGGCAAATGAGTACGAAAGATATGGAGGGGGGTTACAATGCACCAGATAGGACTGTGCAGAGCAGTGTAGAACTTGCCATCTAAATGCTCACACTTGCTGTGAATAGCTGTCACTCAGGAAAGAAAGGGTATGTAGTCTACTGCAAGCTAGCATCGATAACCAACATGCAAAGTCTAAGCCAGAGAGGCAGAGAGGTCAATGGCACATAAACATGCCCTGCTACCTCTCACAACTGCAGCAGTAAACAGAAGACAGGTGGGGGAAGGGAGCTATGCACTTTCACTGAATACCACCCGCCCATCACACCCACATACAGGTAACAGGCACTCAATAGTTTTGAACGATCTTGTGCCTATCTGTCAGCACAGAGAAGTGTAAGTACTTCTGTTGCTACAATACAGCTGTGCCTCCTTATCTCCAGGTTCCACATCCATGGACTCAACCATCTAACGTTAAAAATATTTTGGAGTCAGGCATGGTTCCTCCCAGCACTCAAGAGGTAGAGGCGGGCTGATCTCTGTGAGATGGAGACCAGCCTGGTCTACATAGCAAGTTCCAGGCCAGCTGGGGCTACAGGGAGACCCTGCCTCAAAAAAAATTGGGGGGGGGGAATATATCTGTAGTGCACATACATTCCCTTTTCCTTGTCGTCATCCCCTAACATATAACAACTACATAGAGTTTGCATGAAATTCAGAGGTGATTTAGAACACCTGGGAGGACACAGGAGTTATAGGCATAGACTATGCCGTTTTTATGTAAGGGACGTGAATATCCATCCTGGCTGATCCTGGAACCAATTAATTCCCCAGATAGGGAAGATGACTGTACTGAGTAAAACTGCTGGGTGGTAGGTATGCATAGGTTCAGCTTTAGTACATAAAAAGTGATTGTGGAATTTCTATCCAAACCAGCTCTCAAAATTCCACTTTCATTTTTAAGCATAAATATATGTTTCTATCAATTTAAGAATGATTCACTGTTCTACAGCTGCTTCTGAAAAAGCCAAGCTGAATCCATTACAATCCTCGAATGTCTCATTTCCCAACACTTCTCAACAATTAGCTGGATGCTCAACTCCAGTTACTGTTTTTCACACTGCACCTCTGCTTTCAATAAAACATCCTCTTCACTCTTTATAGTAAACATCATCATATTTTGGACAATTATTTATAACTCAATATATTCTTTGGATTATCCTGAATTTCATAAAAGATTCTGAGAGTTAAACATTGTGGGAACTAATAGCCAGGAAGGTTTAAATTAAAACCACTCTAGGGAAATATTTTGGAGTGTGATAAAAGAATGAATCTAAATTAAGTTTTAATGTCAGATGACTGTGCTATTCATATTTTTGGTGAGCATACCAAAGAGTCATAATTACTAAGTATATAGACATCTTGTGTTTTGAGATCATTTCTGTATTTCCCTGCTAAATAAAGGAACTTCTGTATTTATTACCTGATGCTGTCCTGGTCTTTGTATCTGAGTTGGAGCATGCAGAATAGCTCCCTGCGCTTCCACGAAGAGGAGAGTAGACCCGACTGTTCCATGAGCTGGCATACGAAGGCGGGTAAGATGGGTAGTACCACGAGTCTGAAAAGGGTGGTGTTGCCCTTTAAAGACAGAAAAGCAGGTTAGGCATCTTTCTTCTGACTATAATTCTGAACTACTTCCCTATTCCTAAACCATCAAAAACAGCATCGTTATCAAGAATCTTTTCCTGAGTGTTCTGATATATCAGGGTTATTGGGAACTAAATTTGATGTTTCTGCCCTGCTAAGGTAACAAATGTGGGAGAAGTGACAGGATATAAATGTTCTTTCTTTCTAAATTCACAATCAAAACCTGAACTTAAAGCACGGTTAATAATCAAGACATCCCACCTGGCCCCAGACTCCTTCCAGGCTTGCCTCTATCATTCTACCAAACCAGGCTGCTAACTGTCCCTTCCCCAACGCTGTGTCTTCACCTTTTCACATTCTTAGATGTCTCTTTCTCCTCTCTGTGATGATGACATAGGAAGGAAAACAATGAAAGAAAATAATATGCCAAAGCCTATATTGTGTGTCTTCCCTACACTCAAAGAATCAGATGGGATAGGGTAAAGTCACCTTCATTTGTTTTCCTTACAAAACCAAATGCAGTCAAACTGTAAACAAACCAAAACCCCTTGAAGGAACCAAGGGCAAATGAGACTAAGGCCAAGCTTACCTGTTGCTGCCAAACAAATATCCTAACAATCCTCCAGCTCCCAGACCAGTCCAGAATCCTGGCCCTGAGCTGTCGCATCCTTGTTGTCCTGCAAAAGCACTCCCAAAACCAGAAGCTGTGCCATGGCCAGTACTCTGCGGTCCTAAAACAAAAGTATGTATCAGATTATGTGCCCCACTTAAATTAACACACAAAAGCTCAGATGACATTGCAACTATCTCACCTATACAGCATTATTAATAATGCTCAGCCCTCAACTGATGAACAAGTTGCATTCAAATAGGTATTGTGAAATACTGGTTTATAACTCAAGAACATGTTCCCCAAAGACAAGAGGACTGCAAGGAGGGTCACCCTATTGGATCATATCTCCCCTGCTCAAGATCAGTTTTTGAAAATTATACCACTTTTCAGTTACTTCCTTTCCACACTGAAAATCTCTAAGATTTGCAAGTGAGAGCTGTACCTGACTCTCTAATGAAAGAAAGCAGTCAGATATTTATCAACCGGGATGATGGCGCTTAAAAGGACCACATAAACATCTTCTGCTTAGAAGAAACTGTAAAAATTGATAGATAATATCAATTCTAGAGGAAAGCATGCTAATCTTACACATACATATGGCACAATAAATTTGTTCCTATGAACCTTCCATCTAACTACCACCCACATCAATAAGCCATTTTAGCACCCTACAAAGCTCTGAGAGCTCCCGATACCCACCTCCATTGGAGATAAGCACTGTTCAGACTTCTCTTACACTTTAGTTCTGCCAGTTCCTGAACTTTTTATACATAGCATCATATGCATACTATTTTGTGTCTCCCTCCCTATCGATATGCCTCAGAAGAGCACACACTATTCTATGCATCCTCCTGTAGTATGCCTAATTTGCCCGCTCTGTGTCTTCATGCACATGTGCCTTCACGTTCTTAGGTAAACAGGAATAGAATCCTGAGCACACGGCAGACATGTACTGCTTTTAGTAGATATTGATACTTTTCCAAAGTGTTTTACAATTTCCACTCCTACTGGAAAGTACAAAAGTTCCACTCTCTACTTTTGCCAATTCTTGGTACTCTAGATGTTACTCATTGTGGTGGTTAAAAATAATCTCCTGGTCGTTTGTATCTGCATTTCCCTAAAGACCTAACTTAATATTAACTAAGCACCCTTCCAGTTGTACTGGCCATGACTCTGAATTCTCAGCCCTTTCCTTTTACTGTCCTATTACATTTTTTTATTTATTATTTACTTGGGATGGGCATGCATGCCACCACCCTGCTGCACTGGAGGTAGCACGCATCAGGTCTCTCCTTCTACTATGTGAATTCTGGAGATTAAGCTCAGGTCGTTCAGCTTGGCAGTGAGTATCTTTACCCATTAAGGCATCTCACCAGTCCCCTCTGCTGATTGTTAAATGGGGCTGTCTTTTCTCATATTTGTTCATGTCCTTATAGTCTAGATACATTTTTTTATTGGCGGTATGTTTCACAAATACTTTATCCCAGTCTGTGGCTTGCCCTTTTGCTCTCTTAATAGTGTCTTTTGATGAATAAATGTTAAGTGATGTCTAATCTATTCCTCTTTCCTCTCATAGCTAGTATTTTTTGCATTCTAAGGAATCTTTACCTATCCTATGGCCATGGCAAATAGTCTCCTTCAACTCACAGAGATCTGCCAGCCTCTGTCTCCCAAGTGCTGGGATTAAACACATGTGCCACCATGCCTGGCACTAATTAAACACCTTTAAAAAATAGTAATCATAATGCACTTAGAAGTAAAATGGGGCCAGTGAAATGACGCTGTGGGTAAAAGGCACTTGCTGAAGACCTGAGTTGGATCCCCAGAACCCATATAAAGGAGAGAACCAACTCCATAAAGTTGTCATCCAATCACATGTACTCCATGCACACATGCCCCCAACACATATCATGCACACATAATAATAAATTTATTAAAAGGGATTTTATTTTTACCTGAGTAAAAAATAAAAACGACTAATTTTTGTGTCATAGTGCAATTATTCTCTACTTCACAAACACAAGATTCACTACAGCACATTCACCCCATTTACTGGCCTGCAACAGGGAAACATACCTGCGAACTCGGACTTGAAACCTGGGGGTGGTGGTCCTGCTGCATTGGTAAATCTCTGATAGCGCTGGGAATATGGGGGATACTCAGAATACGGTGGAGGAGAACACTGGTCATCACTAAGGAACAGCTTATAAACCACATAGGCAACAGTAAGAAGCACCCCAATGGTAATCAATCCGCCAATGCCACAGGAATCTGCAGAGTACAACTTTGAGTAATAATCAGAGAACGAGGAACCCTGGTGTTTTCCAGCCTCCTTCAGCTTCTTCAGGCCAAGTTCTGTATAATCTAAGTTGTACTCCAAGCCGCAGGAACCTCTTAGTACATACTGGTCTTCAGAGGACTCATAGCCTTCACAGCTCACCACAGTTTTGCCAAATTTGTATGCGACATCTAAATCAGTCTTACATTCCCACTGTGAAGGAAACAGAAACAGGTTCCAAGAACCAAAAGATTTTTTCTTTCAATATATATTATATGGACTGGACAGCTGTCATAAAACTGCACAGTGAAGCAAAAGAATGGGCAACATGATAGGACAACCATCCCTACATGTTGGGGAGGGCACTGAGCTTCGGTGGGGTGCTAGTGGTCTGCTTCTTTTTTTTCTTTTGGTCTTTTTGAGACAGGGTCTCTCTGTAGTCCCAGATGGCCTGGAACTCACCACGTAGACCAGTAGACCAGGCTGTCCTTGAACTCACAGAGATCCACCTGCCTTTGCCTCTCAAGTGCTGGGATTAAAGGCATGGGCCACCACGCCCAGCTGTGGTTTACTTCTTAAGGTAGGTGGGGGGAATATGGGCATCCATTTTATTACTCTTCTTTATTCCCTACAGATACATTGTTTGTGTTTGTGTGTGTGTGTGTGTGTGTGTGTGTGTGTGTGTTCTTTAAATTTTCTTTTATTTCACATGCATGAATGCTTTGTCTGCATGTATGCAAGAGTACCACTGCATGCAATGCCCACAGTTGGATCCCCCGGAACTGGAGTTAATGACAGTTGTAAACTGCCATGTGGGTGCTAGGAACTGAACCTGGGTCCTCTGCAGGAGCAGTCAGTGCTCTTAACCACTGAGCCACTTCTCTAGCTCCTATACATTTTTTGTGAACATTAGATATTCCATAATTTATAAACATTAATCAAAATTTCAAAACAGCAACTTCTTGTCACTGTTGTCTAAGACGCTGTCTTTAAAAGTGGGTAATTTAGATGTTGGGTCTTAAAAAATCAACATCATGTAGATAAGATCTGACAGCTGCATTCAGCATCAGAAACAGATCACCTCTGCACAACAAAACTTTCTACACTGATCTTATAAAAACCAAGGACTGACTTTACAGAGCCCGATTCTATGTAATCCTCATTAGCTTTTTATAAAAGATTTTTTAAACTTCAAAAATAATCCACGTTAGTCCCCAGATTTTCTATCTTAGAGAGAGGGGGTGAAAGAGTAAGTAACCAGACATGATGGTCCAAATTTATGTAAACACTTAAGAGTGCCAAAATAGGAGGTTGCATGGTTCAATGCCAGCTTAGGGTGTACATCTGGTTCCAGACCAGCTAGGGCAACATAGTAAGATCATGTTCCTAAATAAGTAGTCAGGTGTGGTGTGGCCCACACCTTTAATCCAAGCACTCTTGAGGCAGAAGTAAGCAGATCTCTAGGGTAGCTCCCAGTTGGAGCTACAGGGAGACCCTGTCTCAAAAAGTCAAAAATATAAATAAATAAATAAATAAATAAATAAATAAATAAATAAATAAATACATACATACATACATACATACATAAATAAA